AGTATTAATTGTATTCGTCTTGAAAGATTAATTTTAGTCTATAATTGTAAAGTCAGCGTGTTTGACTTTCTTAGACTAGTTTGACTTTGACTTTGTTAGTTAGRTTGACCATATAAATATGGTTAAGTGTTTTGTAATTAGTGTAAGAGAGCTAATTGTAAGATTACATTGATAATAGAAGATTTGACCAGAATTGAGAGGATTGACTTTTCCTCTCAATATTCATATGTGTTCATAGTGTTCTTAATGAGAAATCCATGAATCTGCCATTGATGTGAGCTTGATATTAAAGATTGATCAGTAATTGTGGACACACAGTACAACTCCTCCTGAATTTATGCATCATCTGTATGAATTTCTGATCAGCGCAGTAATGACACACCTGCAAAATAAGATCAGACAGATTTTGGTACCCAAATGAACTTGGGTCCTTCTTTGTTAGTATCAGGTTGTGGGATATTATAACTGCCAAACCATCTATTTTTATTAGATATTTCCTTTTTAGCGCCTTTAACAGGATGATTATAGACACAATAAGATCCAAACCAATTATTATTTTGATCATACCTATTATTACCTTTCCAACTGTTTTGAAATCTGCGGTCTCCAGTCTAGCTGTTGTACCTTTTCCTGTTCACAAAATCAGTTTTCTTGCATGTGGAGTACATGATCCTTTTCTTGCTAAGATTTATCAAGTCAGAATTGGATCTCACAAAACAAGGAAAATTATTGTTAGTAACAACAGAATTGCGGGACGAAACAGATTCAAACTTATTTACCCAAATGCTTTTAACTTTTGAAGAATAATTGGGTGATCCAATGACGTATTCTTTATAATACTGATTAGAAGAACGAGAATAGTTCTTAGAAACAGTAGATTTAGGGCTGCTTGAATAATTGTTCGATTTGGAACAATCATAAAAGCTGGTTTTACATTTTGAAGGAGAACCAGTTAAGCTTTGAGCACAAGAAAAATCTTTGACTTTCTTTAAAAGTTGGTCTCGTTCGACAACAACTAAATCATACTTCTCTTTGAGTTCAGTTTTCATTTTCTGTTCAGTTTCAAGTTCTGTCTTCAGATAAGACAATTTCTTTGAAGTATCCAGGAGTTTACCTTCTAACTCATTAAGCTTCTCAAATTTCTTTTTCTGATTGTCAAACTCTCTTCTCTCTTCATCTGAGCTGCTTTTCTCATTTTCAGAAGCAATGTTAAGCCACTTTTTCTTTTCAGCAAGCTCTTTAGCTATAGCTGCATATTTCTTTGAAGTATTTCTCTTTTCATGCACTAATAACTTCTTCTCTTCGTGTAAAGATTTTTGCTTTTGAGCAATGCTTTCAGACAGTTTCTATTTCTGGCTCAGACATTCTTCGTTAACGTCTTCCTTCTCTTTGTCAGTCTTGGCTTGTTCTGTTGATCTCAGATCTCTCAATAACACTAATAATTGAGTTAAGAATAATCAAATTATAGTGTTTAGATGAATAAAATGATGAACACTCAAGAACAATGTATGAACATTCAAAGAATAATCTTGAGTTTCAAAGAATAATCTTGAGTGCCAAAGATTTCACTTTATTCTAATAATTATGAAAAGCATAAAGCGTCCAAAATTACAATAGGCCTAATCACCTATTTATACTAGTAAGCTAATAAGAGGATAACTATCTAGTGAGAATATTTAGCTAATCTTCTACTAACAAATAAAGCTTATCTAATACATGGATAAACATCAAAATAAGATAAACTTTGTAGAATCCAGCTGTTGATTAGTCATCTCCAGCTGTCTTCCATGGGATATGAGTTCAACCTTATCTTCATTTCTTCATTGCTAGCCTCTGGTTGAACTGGTGAAGGAAACTTCAAATGTTAGTGTCCAGAGGGGTTATGAAGATGCATTTTCCATCGCATCTCTGGTCAGTTCATCGA